AGATTGTTTGGAGGATTACATCAACAAAGCTATGGCACTAGTGCTGAGGTCAGTGATTTTTGATTATGCTATTAGCTTGATATTAAACATGGTTGGTGATGAAATGTAATAAGTGGTATTTGTTGATATTAGCTGAAGGCGTCAATGGAGAAGAAGCAAGAGGAGATTGTAGAGAAGGTAGGAGGAATGGATAGAAGATTGAAAACTCTTGAGGGGATGGTACATCCATCAGGACGAGTCTCCAATACATCACGGCCATGCTCACCAGTCCACTCGCCGAGTCCAACACGATCACCAGCACCACCAGCGCCACCAGCGCCACCAGCGCCACCAGCCTCAGAGCACTCTCCACTTGTACTCGATCCTCCAGCTGTTGCCACTACACCTCTTGCACCAGCGCCACCAGCCTCAGAGCACTGGCCACCAGCCTTATTCGAAGCACGTTTACCGACAGTGGAAGAAGAGAGAGAGGCAATGAGACTCCTGTTATACGAACCGGGCAAAGGACCATTTAAGAGGACGAAGAAAGGATATAGGAAGAAACCTCAACCAAGCGAGGGCCCAAGCGAGGTCCCACAACGCCCTAAGAGAACCCAAGCTGAATCCAGACATGTGTCATCCCCATTTACTGAAGACAGACCGGCTAAGAAGAAGAAGAACTGATAACTTATTTGATAACTTATGGTTTTAGGATAACTTATGCTCTTATGAACTTATGTTTATTTGATATCTTATGCTTTTGGATATGGCTTATTTGATAACTTATTTGATAACTTATGCTTTTGATAACTTATGCTTTTGGATATTTATGGGTTTAGGTTGGACAACTAATAGTTGTAATTTAATTTTGGTATGTGGACAACTCGGACAAATAGGACAAGTAATAGTTGGAATTTAATTTTGGTCTGTGGACAACTCGGACAAATAGGACAACTAATAGTTGTAATTTAATTTTGGTCTATGGACAACTAGGACAACAGGGTTAATTATTAAACATAAAGATATGAAAACACAGCAAACAGCATGAAAAAAGCGATTATCACATATCCATCACCTCGGTTGGCAATCAATTCCTTCATCCTTCCAATCTCTCTTTCCATCCCAGATAGTTGCTCTCTGAGTTGCCTAATTTCGGATTGATGTGTCTCAAACGAGATAGTCTCAGGAAGGCAGTTTCGGACAACTCCCATGTTATGCAAACTTTTTATCCCAGATGTGGCATTATCAACTCGAATTTTCAGAGTTGATAGCTCTTCTGTAACCGCGTCCTCCCACCATTTCCATATATGGTTATGATTCGGGCAAGGCCTCTAATAATAATGAAGCGAAAATCAGTAAATTCACCATATTCTATATCCTAAATCTAAAATTGTAGAAATAACCTAAAATCCAAAAGTTTTTACCTCAAATGTCCAATCTGGGCAAGTGTACATTTTTCTTCCTCGGGTGGCTTCTGACTTCGAATCCCTGATAACCATCAGGAGACCACACCAACACAATTCTCTCATACCACCTTCTCCATCAGCTCGGTAATATGAACTGTCCCACGAGTGCCTGGAAGAAGAAGAACCCGAACTGTAGCTTGGCATTTTGTTGTCCAGCGGCGGCCGCTAAACCCTAGATTTCGATTTGGGGGAAATTCTGTTTTTTCTTCTCTAAGAATTTCCTTATAAAGGAGCCTACTGATCAAAACGCTGAGTTTCATTCTAATATTTGGCGGCGCCGCAAATATTAATTTAACACGTGCTTATGTGTTTAATACCGAAAATAACACATAGTTGTACCGATACGTCCTGTTGTCCAAAATTGGTCATACTTGTCCATTTTGATTATTCTACTTGTCCGGTAACATAAATCTGTATTTAATA